TAATTGCACAGTTGTGTTAAGTAAGAGTAACTGATTTTTTTTGTGTGTGATTTTGTAGAAGTGTAAGATGATTGCAAACAGCAAGGAGGAGATGGCCATTGCTAGACCCCATGTCTCGGATGACGAAAGCTAAAACCGCAAAGCTTTCAAGGTAACATTTTCAAAGTGAATTCTTCCAGTTCTTTGCCTGTGACCTTGTCTTTGTATTCTATTCAATCCATTTTGGTCATTTTTATAATCACTTGTGCTCTGCATATTAAATAGACACGTTTTAGTTATAAGGAAATAAAATGTTCTATGAAGACATTAAATGGTGACCTAACTTGACCCTTTCTTTCTCATTGTCTGCACACAGCCAGTACCCTCGACCGAAGGAAAATATAACAAATGCTTATAAAGGACGACTTACCTTCAAACAGTTCTCATTGGCAGCCAGCTGCCCTGACTGAGCCTCATACACCAAGAAGAAGAAAAGTACCCATGTTGTCACAATTACAATATAGGCGCGCCGTCACCAGCCACTGCCCCACCCAGATCCCCAGTTTGTTTCCGCTTGTGTGAGAGAGAAAGACCCAGACTCATCTGTGAGACCACTGAGTTAACTGGACACACTGACATGTTGTATGACTGCATAGTGAGTCTGTATGTGTGAATTGTTAGTCCTGTTTGTGTATATAGTGACTTTCACCACCTCAGTGTTGCTGCTCATTTAAGCGGTCACTAACTAAAGGGGAAACAAACCAAACTAACTAGTGGCGCAAGTGTTTTTGTATAAGATTAGTTTCTCTAAATGTATTTTACTTTTATGCTTTCTTAAATAATTGTGTTCAGTGGGGACTGCTTCCTTGTTCTTCTGCATTCCCCTCAGCTATCTCTAGTCGCTGGTTTTATAACAGAATAATGCAGAGGAAGTGTTGCTAGATCCCCACATGTGTTTTCAAAAGCCTGAGTCTCCAGGCCAACAGATTGACAACATGTTGTGAATCCTTGTACAGGGCGTCGGATCTGATTATTTTTGAAGGAATGGAACAATTGAATTTATTGGCTGTAAAGAAGATTTGAATTCATCATCTTCATTTACAACACAGAATTGATTCGGTTTGCACTGCCCTGGGTGTGATTTTCGTTTCCTCTATTTTTAATGGCAACAACCTAATCTTTGATCTCTTGAGTGTTTCATTTGGGCTTTGTTGGTATTGTTTTTTACTTAGAAAAATGGTTTGCTGTATATTCAAATGGACATTTCATCTGCCACTTGTAACAACAATTTCCTAACATGCAGTGTTGTGTATTTTTGCACAGCAATATTATATATGACATGATTTAAGATGCACAAAAAGATGCCATGATAGCGTTTTAACGACCTTTAGTCAAGGGCAAACATTTGAAAGGTCTGTATTTCTGTCATTTGTTATCTGGTTTTGATTTGAAAGCAATGCTGCTTGATAGTGGTCTTGGAGATCCCAGATATTTGGACTTTGCCAACAGAACCGAACCTCCAATTAATCCCAAATCAAGATCACAACTAAGATTAGATTGACTAGACAATGTCTTGTTTTCTGACGAGAAACCAGATGGGTTAAATGGCACTTCCCTTACACTTTTTTTCCCTTTCTAGTTCACACAGTGATTTAATAAATGATAAACAATAGGCTATGTTTTATAATTAAAACATGGTTAATATCAGTGGCTTTTTAAACAGGCACACATTGTAATTCCTGCATCTGGGGTTATAGAGTTGAATGTATGTAGTTGAGCCTATCCCAAACTGAACCATTGTTTAAATTCCTTATGTATTAGACAATCAGGTTATTTGTCTCAATGCTTTTTGAAAGAAAAAAGAAGATTTTCAATGTGCAAACATAATGAGAATCTCCCCTTACCAGCCGTTTTTATTGACACCTCAAACTCATTTAATATCTGCTTTACTTCTGAATGTTTTTGACTGGCTTCTAGTAGATCTTCTGCATCGGGGTGAACTGGGTCCATGTTTCACAAAATGCTTTTGTCCCATCAGATACCTGAAGAACAAAGACAAACTAGGCGCTTTTGGGAAAAATGTCAGGGATTAAGTTTTAAAGAATCTTCCACTCATTTTCATTGGAGAGGGAAATAATTCTTTATTATTCTTCTGTGTGGACCTCCCACGCCCAGGGCTGGTAAACTGTGGTAGATAATCTGTATTACTTTTTTGTCAAACTGTAACTTTACTGACTGTACCAAAATCGTTTTTGAGCTGTTGAATTGATTCCCTGAGGTAATCTTTAGCTATTTTAGGACCGAACATAAGAATAAAACGCATTTTAGGATTCTTTTTTTTGGCGGGGGGGTTCATTTGAATACGACATTGCCTGCATTGTACATATGTGTTGATGATTATTAAAAACCTCAATGATCTGTATAGACATGTGTATGCTGTGTTCACTTAGTCAGTCTTATCATATAAGACTGAATATCACTTGGAGCCAGAAAGACTTTTTTAAAACAGTTTTTCAATCAAATCAAGTCTAAGAATATTAAGCTTTTTATCTGTTAAAGCTAAAATGTTTATCAAAAATCTCACCCCATTTTTATGAGAGCTGTTTTTCCAAATGACCTGCCAATGAACACACATTTCTAAATTATCTTAATCAAAATAACTAGCTGAGCTCGCTGACAACATAAGTTACTTCTCCAAACTCTTTCAATGACGAGTCCATTTCATGATCAAACTGTTAATAATTCTCAATCCACATGGAGGTGTAAAGTAGATTGTGTGTCACAGTGCATGAGTTTCCTTGGTTTAAAATTAGACTGCGCTGCCAGGTGTGAATGGGGTCATAGAATAAATGTAAAGTGCAGTGACATTGGCCCGGTTATGCATTGCTCAGCAGTGAGCGAGCAGCTTTCAGTTCTATAATTGAAAGCCTTCACAGCGGAGATGGAGCCCAACAGCACAACCTGACTGTACAATTTATTGATTTGCAAGACTGCTTGCGCGTGGGCAGTTTGTGTGTTGGCCTCGCTGAAAGAAAGAGAAGATAGATACATATAAATACATGTTTTTATATGAGTGTTTGAAGTGGACTGATGCCAGCATCTAATTTTCTGTGTGCTGGGATAAGTAGAAAATCCTTTCAGAAAATGTTGGAGCCAGAACGTCTTGTAGTTATGAAACCATCCTACAAGTGGTGCACTTTCCCTTTGTTTCAAGTGTAATTTTATTATGCAGGTACGAGTTAAATGAAGGAATTTTGGATCCTCTCCATCAACACAAGTTCTCTTTAAATCCCTATTACTTAAAGCTCCAAAAGAATTTTAAGGAGCAGAGGTAAAGTATAAAGGACTTTGACACATGAAATAACCCTCAGGAATCAATAATGTATATCTACTTCTAAACACTTTATATTCAGGTTATAAATGTCTGATTTACTCTGATGGTAACCAGGGCGGTCTTGATGAAGAATGCTTAAAAGGCTTTTAATCTGTGGATTTGCTGACTGACCAGGGTAAAAAGGTCGTTTCTGCCTCAGTCTTCATCATGGGGTTTAGTACATTTACATAACAAATATAGTCAATATATGTTTAAAGGTCTTTCAAGAGTTTTGACAGTGATTGACACTTTTTCGTTCATATTGCTGTTGAAACCAGGTTAAGATTGAATTGTTAGCTTTCTGCCGATAGTTTTTCTCTTTAAGATTTAACAAGTAGGAAGGTCACATTCATTGTTTTTATTTCCCACATTATCTTAAAGTCTCTTGTTGAAATGAAAGGCAAGCAATCTGTAGCTGCAACATATTTATTTGGGAAAGGTAAATGCATGTGTCTCTGCATGACAAGTGATTAGCATGCATGTCTGAAGTTGTGTCATCTCACAAATATAACGTTAACTTGTACAGTAGTATATGGGAAAGTAAGGGGCTATGCATAAGTTATTGGGTTGCGGATACATTGAATCTAGTGTAAAACAAAGTAATACATATTTTTTAGGGTTGGTTTGCCTGGCTGAAGTTCTGGGGGCTGAGATGCAAAATGGCTAGCAGAGGTTAATGCACATCTGAATGAAGAAACATACACCAAAGATGTCACCTGATGTCAACAATGTCAAATGTCTTCATAGAAAATACATTTTGTATTCAACTCCCAGTTTCCAATATTATTTTCCTAATAAGGGTTACTATGTGTGAGTAAGGGTCTGAACCAACTGCAATCTCTGAAAGAGTAACTGTTTACATATTCTGAGCCAATTGCTGTCATTTCATCTGTGGACTGCAATTACATTAATCAGTAATTACTGGGACATGCCTTCCGTTCCTGTCTGTGTGGTGTGTGCAGTTGTTTACACACAGCAGTCCCGTTTGCATGTATAAGTATGAGGGTTGCATACTGAGGAGTTAGTGAGTCATTGGTTTTTGCATATCAATGGCTGTCAGTCGATGGATGGCTGAGTGCTTTGCAACGACCACCCAGTCCAAGCACTCTACCCACTCTGTCAGGCTGCCAGGAAAGGAGGTCACATACACAAGTGTCCTCTCATTCCCTTTGCTTTCCATTTTCATAACACACTTTTCTCTCACAACATTGCTCCAGAGGCCACTCATATACACATGCACAGGCACACTCACACTGGATAAGCCGATGAATTCAGGCCATGGTGGAGTTCTGGATCGGAGAGGAACTTGTTTCACTACAATGTGAGACAGACTAACGAAGACAACAGAGACAGCGAAGAGAAAGGCAGAAAAGAGGATTCGAGAGAAAAGACAGGCACGACGAGATAAAAGCTGGCAGAGTGAAAGGCGGGGGGGGGTTGCTGAGAACAAAAGAGAAAATAAGATGCCTAATTTTACTGACGAGGATGTGGAGCACTGTAGACAGCGTAACTGTGCCTGTGAGGGTCTATGTACTGGTCGGAGGAGTAGAATAAAGGTTGTGACTTTGCCTGTACTTGTCGGTTCATTGTTCTGTCAAAACTGTGTGTGTGCACATTTCAGCTAAAGTGTTTGTGTGTCAATGTCCTCCACAGGACAGAGTTATACCAAACCAAAGTTGTATGGAAGCAGAAGATCCTGCACCCTGTAACAATATATGTTAACATCCACGTCTGCATGATTGAAGACACACATGTTGCATACATGCATGCATTTTTAATGAGAGCAGTGGAAAGGAGCAACTATAGATCTTAATTTATAGATGAGTGAAGTTAACCCAATTGAAATATTCATGCAAAATGAAAATTACATTTCTAAATATTCTTTTCATTTTACATTCCAGATTGAACATTTAAATATTTATACGTATGCACCTTCGTAAAGCATATTAAAATGTTTGAACTTCCTACTATATGGTTAGTATTCAAATCACAATTCATATTAGAAGGCTCAACTGCTAATAATCTGATATTTAAAATCTGAGAAATACTCAGTTATAGTGTACAATATTTAAGTTATATTAACTGCACGCTTCCATATAACTGCATGACTTTCAATATGTTACTGGAAGACTTTAATTTGTAACTTTTGCAGAGCTCATTTAGGATGCCTGATGCCATTTTGTTCTTATACTTTGTACAGAAGTGATATCTCAAAAGGTTCCCTATTTGACCTTTAATGAAACAAGACTTCTCAGAACAAAATGACCAAAAATAACTCGTCTACCCATAAACATCAGAAAACAGTGAAGTATGCAGGCATAAGGTTGCCCTGCTGTGTAGCAGAGACAACATTTTCTTAAACCATATAAACATATTATCTTATTTCATAATCAATTTAGAGATGCTGTTTTGAAATGTTGCCCCTAGTCATTTTAGCTGGACTTGAGTCATCAAACACCCTCCACTGGGGCGGAGGAGACGCTGGCCGCTGTCGCAGAACTGACCTATGAAGTCAGGCGCAAAGACGGATGCTTCCTGACTTTAGCACGCGTTAGTGTGAATGATGATAACATTGAAGTAGTACAGTATAGTTTGTGTGTGTGTATGTGTGTGTCTGGCTGAATAGACTCAATGTGATTCATTTCTATAGGGAGAGCGTGTGTGAGTCAGAGATCATAATGTGTGTGTGTAAGGTTGTGTGTTTTTTTTATTCAACAAACACAGCAAGGTTGTGTGCACATGTCCTATTTGTCGCTCTCCATCTCTCTGTGTGTGTGTGTGTGTGTGTGTGTGTGTGTGTGTGTGTGTGTGTGTGTGTGTGTGTGTGTGTGTGTGTGTGTGTGTGTGTGTGTGTGTGTGTGAGCATGCATGTGCTTCAGGAGGAACAACATGAGCAGCTGCCATCTCATGTTGGTGCTTTGACAGTTACCTGCATGTGTTTCCATCCCACGACTACAATATTCATGTGTTAGATATACATACGAAACTGGCTGCCAATAAAACGCCTGTTACGTAAGAAAAACAGCTATATTAATTAGTGTTTGTTAGCGTTTTAGATCAAGGAGGAAAGGTTGTAAGTCTACAGGCTGCTACAACAATATTGAACAATGTAAGAGTAGATGACGGGGACTCCTTCTTCCGCAATTAAATATCCAGGTTTCACATCTTCCACACCTGCAACAGGCTAATCAAATATTGAAATCCGCAACTGGCTGATCAAATATTCATACTTGCCACAGGGCTGCTCAGTCCTCACATTAGTTAGTTGAGTGGTCCCTGCTGCCGACTGCAGGATCACTAGTCTATTCCTGGAAAAACTGGAGTTATCTTAAATTATAAACATGATCATTCAGTAGTCAGCCCTTACAGTTGTGGCAAATGTAATGTTTTTTTCTTCCCTAATACATTATGTCTATTTTTCATTTCATCAAAAGAGATGACATACATTTAATAAACATTTCAGTCTTTTGATCACCTTGATTTTTCTTCACATGCAGACTACTTGCTTGGGCCTTCATATCACATACATCCCAGCCTATAACATAAATTTAACATCTTCACATTTGTTCTAGTTATTTACATGTGAACTGAAGGACTCCTAGGGGAGTGTCACAAGCTGATGTGCAGGGTAGCATGGGAGAAAAAAGATATCGTGCTGACATAATTAATTATCTTCCTTCAAAATATAACATGAATCAAAGAAACCAAATATCCTTCCCATTGCTCACAATAGTGGTGATGCTCTTTAAAAACAAATTCTCTCTCATTCCAGTCACATATAATGCATGAGAGCCCGCCTTCTCTTCAAACTGGCCAATCAGGTAGAATAGAATAGAGTCAAGAATTTTAACAAATATTAATTGTTTTTCTCCACCTTACTATTCCAACAAGGCCTCATTTCATTTGTTGAAATAAATACTGTACCCTCCAAACCATAACATACATTGTACATCATTCAGTATTTACCTTAATTAGCCACCATGACATCACACATAATTTAACCAATCCCATCTGAGACTTCACCTACTCATACACCATGTAAGGACCTCTGTGGCGGTGACCTGATTCCTCTAGAATACCAGCACAAATGGCTTCCACAAAGGACTCAAATTGAGGATCTGGTCATGAGTTTCACAATCTTCACTTCATTAAAATGCTTAGTATGTTTATTTGCCTTTGGGAAATGATATTAGAAACAATAAATATAAGAAGCTGTGAAGACATTTCTTAATTTCTTAGAAGAAATAGCAAGTTGTTAGTAAGCAAGGAGAGCTCTTTTATATATAAAGTCACATATTACTCTTTTACAGGTATACACCAAACAGCACCCATAACTGTCATGGGTGTCTTGCTAGTTGCAGGCTTCTTGGAAAGCTTTTATGGTAATTTGACACCCAACGCTGACTGCGTACGTACACATTAATCTTGTAAAGGAGACAATGTTACAAGAATACAGTTGGTGGCAAAGGTACCGAAGGGTTTTGTACGTGCAGCAGAATTGTCTCCTCACTATCCCTGCGCTTTTCTCAACGCACTGCACTTAGCACATTTTATTTACTGTGTGCAAGGTGTTAAACGCTGACTCACTATCACCAACAGCAACAAACATTTGGACTCGGCGGCTGTCCCAAGACTTTTACCTCTTACTGTACTTAGCCTATACACATTTTTATACATGACAGCTATTTTTAAGTTAACTTACTTGTTCCACGCCAAGAAATGTATGTTTTACCCCGATGTTGCATGCATTAATTATGGCTCCCATGCAAAATGGATTAGATCTGCGACTTCATTGAGTGGCTGAGGCAGTTGTAGAGTTCATGACCCACATGACTTTACCTCCTATACTCCTATCCTATCCATACGATGGAGTCCACCTTCACCCCCACCAAGATTAGGAAAATAACTGGAAATGTATGACATTATGCCCCTCATTTTCTTTTGCTTTGGTTTGTGAATATTAACACCCCTTATCAGAAAGTGACCATCTCAGTGCTGCTGAGACCAAGGACAGTCGTTTAATATCAGACAATGGTGGTATATGGATATTTTTTATTTTAATCTTACAGATCATATTCTGTTAATGTTTTTGCTGTATCAAATAAGTAGTATAACAGTATTTTAAATGTTGATAGAGACAGTAAAACATAAAGAACCGCTCCTATGTCCATTTTAAATCCCTTAAATGTAAGTCATTGTTTAACATTGTTCTGTATTACAGAGAGGACAGGAAGTCTGATGTGATTGTTTTGGTTATTCTTCTATTTTCCTGTGGGACATGTTTGACTTTGAGAATTGGCTTGTCGTCTGCAATACCACTTTTGAATGCTTGTTGTACGAAAACAATCACTCCTATTTGTTTTAATTTGCAAACTAATAGAGATTCATATCTCAAGTGTTTCCTTTACGGGATTTGCCAGAAAAGATGCATTGGTATGCATCACAAATTAATTATCTAGAGAAGACAAGTTTAACATTTCATTTGATGCTGTCACATCACTGGATGCAAACTTGAACTAAAGAGACAAAATTGGCTCCATGTCCTATTGATGCTGGAATTTGTTCATATTTTATCATATTCATGCATTATGCAGTAGAGTAGACCAAAGTCCTCTCTGTAGTCAAAATGGCTACAGATCCACCACAGTTTGAATAAGGAGACATGATATGGGACATGTTTGGTCAGTGGGTTTTTACACAAGTGAAGACGTTTAGCCCCAGGCTTTTATTTGAGGGCTCTCATCAGTATCTGTGAAAAGAATGCTTCGCTTAAGAGGTCGTTATCGACCTTGTTTGCCTCTAAAGTGTTGTTCTTATTAGCAACCTGAAAAACAATCGCATGGCAAATTGACTCAGTGTGGTGCAGCACGTATGATACCAGTGGGATCTCTTCTACTGCCTCTCATTTTAAATATATTTGTTCTACTTTATATTCTGCATATCCTCTTCTGCATCTTCTTATCTTTCTTTCCTTCACACTTGTGTGCCTCTATGCACACTTTAAAGCTTCTGCCTCTTTTCCATAGTTTATTTCTGAGACTCTTTATTTTCATGAATTTGGATGGTACTTTATTGCCAGAGCTGCTACACCATTTCATCCACTTATTTTAACTTTTTTACACTGATGTGTGCATCCGTCTGTATATGTATCATGTATCTTCCTTTTATAATCAGTTTTTGTTCTTCTTCCTTTGTTCACTATTTCCCTACTAGTACTATTTAAACGTCCTGTATTTGCACTGAGACTTAGACTGTCACATTGGTAGAAACCCATTGTGAAACCCCCTCTTTATGCAAATGATGGATCATTTGAACAGAAAATCTAATAGCAGCGTACTTTATATGCTCCATGTAGAACCCATGTGAGGAATTTTCTCCCATCAGGTATAATTATTATTGCCTTAGCAGCTGCTTTTTGTGATTCATTAATCAACATTTCTTCATAGCGAGCCAATAAATAAAAGGATGAAGCAGATGGCACAAAAAGTGGTTGAATTGTAAATTGCATTTTTTAATTCTACACTGTATAACCTATGCTAAATGTTACTTTTAAGTAGATTTGGTGAATTTCAAATTATCCTACAAACAAACATCATTTAAAGGTGCAACAAAGTGCATTGTTATATATTTGGATATTGTCCTGACTTTGTACCTCTGTGTGTATAAATAGGTATGAGCTTTTTTCTCTCCACATGTCCGCAGAAGAGCAGGACATGCAAAGAGCCATTTAGTACATTACATGCATATTGCATTTTTTAAATCTCTGCACCGCGTAAGCATGTTTTGAGTGAACTTGTGACGGTTCTCCTGAATGTTTTTTGTGGGTGTTGGTGTGTGTGTGTGTGTGTGTGTGTGTGTGTGTGTGTGTGTTGGAAGGGAATTTCAGGTCTCTAATAGGGTTGCCGTAGAAACATCAGTGGTTTTGATAGAGGCAGTGCTCATGGCCACATTGGAGATGATCAACCTTTGGACAAAAAAGGGCCCGCCAGCCTCGTTTACTTCAGTGCCAGTTTTGCTCAGAGCGTGCTTGGTTTGCACCCAATCACACACACTCACTCACTCACACACAAACCAATACATTAAACCGAGGTCATCAGCCAGTAGCATCGATTGCAGAGCTTCCCCAGAAAGGTCCTGAACACAAACCTGGTTTAAGATTTCTTCTTTAAAACCAGGGCTTGTCTTTTTTCTGGCGATATATGAGTCAACTAGTCACATACTTTAAACCCTCTAATTTGCACATGTAATATCAAAGGATTTTGGTAGGTTTTGGTACTGTTATTGTTCAGAGCTATACAAATCATGGCTACTAAAAACAATGCTTGAGAGCAGGTTTCAGTCAGTTGTTGAAAATATGCGATTTACATGTTTATTATGATGCTTGCTATGCATGATTACTTTTGTAACCTCCCAGACAATCACAAGGACCTCACAAAGCTCCACCCTCCTTGATGAAATCAATCACTGAACTAAGCAGGAATACTAATGAGAAGTCTATCTCTTAACAAGAATCTAAATTATAACAGTAATTCTGTTGTAATACTGCTTAAGTAAACACACCAGGAGGTGCACAGCTTCTGCATAAACTCATTCTGATTTGACAAATTGGACTTGATACACTGTTTTAAACACTGTTTTAAACAGAGACTCACGCACAGCCACCACTCAAAGCTGACAGAGGGATCACTGAGACAGGGGGGGGGGGGGATTTTCAAGTTAAGCAACAGGATTTCACCAGCACTCCTAAAGGCTTTGTCGCCTCACAGTGCCCATAGGTCTCTTGATTGAACAGCTGCCGTATCAATTCGGGGGCCAAAGCGGTGGCTATTTGTAGCTCAGAGGTACCTTCAGCAATATATCTCCTGTCACAGATAAAGAAGAAGACACATGTACACGTAACACAGCCATGAACGAAGCCTCCTCACATTAAGATCACTGATTCAATCCAGTGTGCTTGCTAGATCGACTGAAGCTTTTACTCACACACATTTGTGGCTACACATATAAATATTTTGAAATGCATATGGTCCCGTCCCTGAGCGATCAGAGCTTATTTTTCTATTTGATTTGAGATGACAGCAGGAAGCGCCTTTAGGCCTGCGATACTTGGACATCAATTTCAGGCACTGTGGATTTACATGGGCAGTATTTCTGCTACACGCTGGGGAAAAAGCTAAATGATTAATGTTGGGCTATGAGGTGTAAAATATAATATGAAAATATGCTGGGCTAGGCTGCAGGTGTGACAGAATTATGTATGTTCTATAATGGCATTTAGAACAAATACATGAATTTTAGGATAAAAAAGTAATGTGCTACCCACCTTTGTGTTGAGATACACTTGGTGAATGTGTTTTTCCTCTACACCTTCCAATTTCAGACCCATTACACAAGACACCAATCAACCGATCAGTCACACAGTCAATTGTTGAGTCAATCAATAACTTAATCATGGGTTCAGAATATTGGAAATACTCTCGATGATTGCCGGTGAAATTGCTGATGTATTGAAAAAACATTAGTCTCTGCTTATCTCTTGAAATGATAAAGAAGAATTTATAAAACGTGGGATGCGTGTGGTACAGTGGGTTGAGCGTTGGTGTTCGGATCAGGGGATCACAGGTTCAAACCCCACTGCAGTCAGCATGTCGTTGTGTCCCTGGGTAAGACACTTCACCCCAAATTGCTCCTGTGGGGATTGCCCACAGTATTGAGTATGTAAGTCGCTTTGGATAAAAGCGTCTAACATGTGACATGTAAAAAAGTAATAATAATTTAAAAAAAAGCTTTATCGTCTCTTTTGTCCTGTGAACAATCCATTTCCTTAGAGTTATCTAGTGCTTTTTATTCGTTCTCACCTCTGCCCAAACTAGTCCACAGAGAATGACCAATTATAGGGCTTTCATATTCACACCACACAAGTATGGCCAGACATGTCAATTTCCTTGCAGCCTCTGGATGTACACGATGGTTCAGCGAGTCAATCGATACTCATCCTCACCTGCGCACTACTGTATCGCTTTCCCCTGAACTGTGATTGCAGTAGATTCACAAAACTGTTATTTTAAAGATTAATAAAACACCCCTCTCTCCAACACCTTATTGCTTTCTGTCTCTGCTTCACTCTCACCTTTTCTAATGCTTTCCACACTTTTCACACCCTAAGCCCACTATATTAGCTCTCCTTCCCATCCTCTTTTCTCCTCTCTCTCCCATTATCCTTTGTCTTTCACTTGCACCATCCATTTTTCTTTTCCCACACTGCTTTTTTGTTATCCTCCGGGTTTCCCAATCTTCTTCTTTCTCATGCTTTTTATTCCCCTTTCTATTTTCATTTAAATTTCATTCAATCCTCCATTACTTGCTTTTCTCCTCCTTGTATCCATCTGACATCTGTCCTTTACTTCCCGATCGGCATCCTCCCCTCCCCCACTAACGCCATGAGAAATACCAATAAGGACTGCTGCAGTTTGTAGCCGCTGCAACATGCACCACTGCCTCATATGCTCCTGCAAACTGCAAAGGTGCAGCAACACAACTGAGCTGGTCCACACTGCACAGAAAACCACTGACTTCACAGCGAACCCCGGCCTACGCGTGCAACACAGTGTGGGTTTGTGTAGGTGAGATTGTGGAAATGAAGAGTAAATCAAATTTTGGCAAATAACCACCTGCCAATGGGAGCCAAAAACAAAGGCCTGAAGATTGAATAGTGAGCTTGTGGGTGTATTAGTTTAGTGCAAGTTGTTGATGAAATGTGTTGAAATAAAATGAGGCTCATATTTAGAGATATAGAACCAGCACACACCACTCAGTTTATGCCACTGTTGTCCATCGACAAACCAACAAGGCTGACAGATTACTGCTGATGAGGCAGAATTTTGGGCCACGCTAAATTAATGCTTGAGAGCCAATAACTTAGAGCAATTTAGTGAACCCTTTGTTTTAACTTTCGTTATCTTCTTTTCAATAACGAGTAGTAGTGGACGTAACATATGACTAGGCAGATACCTAATGTAATGCTCTTTAAGTCTTCTATTCATTCATTGCTATTTGTTAATATCCTGCACATACCACTAAACTTGTTACATTTGTGTGTCTGTTAAGTAATTGAGTGTGAATGCGTAAGTAGTCTACTAGTCTGAAATGAATAGACTCACAACATCTTCTCTGTTCTCTCTCCTGTCTATTGTCTTATCTTAATTATGTTTTATAATCCAGTACTGTGCTGTAATTTCCTCTCACAGTATGCAGGTCTCCATGTCAGTCCGTCCGTTTAATCATTTCAGACAATATGTCAGACTTTGCTCCAGAGCACATGCACATTAAGTAATAAAAGCTTCCTACAGAGCAGCCTCTATCTCTATCCATCTATCTATGGCTGCTTTCTTACTTTCTGTGAGTCTGGCATGTCTCCTGAATACTTTACAGTAATATATTCTCACACACGTTTTGACAGGCACACTTAGACAAAATGTGTGACCTTGCTTGTGTCTTCTATTGGCCCTCTTTGCGTGTCCTTTGTTATCTTGATGCAACATTATTTGTGACAAAGCACTTTGTGACAAGTGCTTGATAAATAAAGGATACTTGATATGACTGCCCAGCAAATAATATGATGGGAGGGATACAAATACTTAAAGCGAGGCTACACCAGTGAACCATGATCAGGGAGGAGGGCAGGAGGAGAGAGGCTCGCGGACAGCATTATGCAATTTGACTGAAATATCATTGGAACACACTTGGAAATGAAATCAAGAGTCAATAATGTACACATGAAATGCATTCCGTGGTGGAGCACATGTTTTAAAAAAAATAGAAATGATATTGTCTGAGTTCGAGTATACCTAAACATTAACACTAGGTTTACAATGTGCTTTAAGAGCATATACTTGTTATGAGGTGTGCAACAGGTTTAAGTAATCAAATTACAGGATGAAAATGTGTTTTGTAACGTTGATGAATTCATTATTTACTCAGGCACTGTATAACCCTATTTCCAGCTATTTCTGCTTTTTCCGTTGCAGTGTTTTAATGAGATTGTATTGGGATTACTTATACTGCAAACATTCACTTTCACTATTATTTTGCTTTATGGATTTTAAAATAACTAGAATGAATCAAAGACCAGTTATTGTGCCAGTAGTTTTCGAAAAATCACAGATTATGACTGGTTTTTATTTAAGGACATAATATTACATTACAGTACTTGGGTAATTTCAGAATTATACTTCCAATGGAATGATGTAAATGGAGAGCAATTGATATACATTTTCCCTGCTAGTGTGTTTGTGAATGTGTGATGTTATGTTTTACCATGGTTACACAGAGCAGTGAACGAGTTAAAGATAGGTAGTGTGTATCGAAGAGACTGAAAAGGGTTTGAGACATCAATGAATATTTTAAGGAAGAGCGGGAGCTGTGGGAGGGAAGGCTGAACTAAAAGACAGTTGGGCTGCTGAGACAGAGAGATCATTTAATAGACGAGCAGAGCAAATGTGTTGAAGGAGAGACCGGAAAGCTGGAGGGATGGGAGATGAATGAATGGTGGACTAGTCTGGACTAAGCGATCGACAGAAGAACTGAAATTAATTTAGTAAGATGGATTAATGGACAAATAGAGGCTTTGTGCAATGTTCATAAAAAACCTTTCACCTCGACAGGGTTGTGAAATAATGGTGAGTGTTTTCGGTGTGTGTGTGTGTGTGTGTGTGTGTGGTTTCACAGAAGAATTAAATGCTTTATTCCATGGAATGCTCTTAACATCCTGACAGCAATGAATATTTTAAGTGCTTTGACAAAAAAAATTCATAAAAACATGTCATCTGTGGAAGCCGTAGTACTGTAAAAAGCATGACCAATCATTTTAGCCGGCCCGGCTAAAATAACTGGATGGCCTACCTGCCTGTCAGCCTTCCATCTGTGCACAAACTTATCTCGTGCCCTCATTGGTCATGTGCGCGTTCATGTGTGTTGGAGGAGGGGCTCTGTAAGGAAGAGGCAGATTTTTTCCGGTTGTGTATTTTCAAAGTCTAGCGCACTCGAGCTGGTTTCTCCAAAATTACCTACCCAACCTTTAAGGAGAGTCTTAATGTGCTTCATGTAAGCTCAAATGCAGGCACACAAAGGCAACAAGAACACAACAATTCTAAGTCCATAAGGTCTCTTAACACATTCAAGGTTTCCCTTTAGCATTACATTCAGACAACGATTAAGCGTGGAACGGAAGTGCCCAAAAAGAGCATAAAGGCCACCGGACTAGGTTTCAGGTTTACATTTCTTCTCACTATATATGCTACCTGTCACGGTTTGTGAAACAAGCAGGACCCAAATGCAGATATAAACTGAAAATTCCTTTATTTCAAGGCTATGATATATATATATATACACAATGACAAAACAGAACACTCACCGCAGAACTAGTCAGGGAACAAGACGAACCGACCAAGACAGACAGAAAACCCAGAACTTAAATACACACAAGACTACTCACACAACAAGACACAGGTGAGGAGGGAGGAGAAAACACAGGGGCCCAGGTGAACATAATCAGACAATTAGACACACCAGGGAAACTAATGACAAGAGGAAAAACACAGGGAAAATGACAAGACAATAACCCAAAGGAAAACATGACATGGAAAACAGCAAAAACACCCAAACCTACAAAACTATAAACGTGACATAACATGAGAATCGTGACACTACCATTTGGCTACTTCATCTACCAGAATGACATGGAGCTCCATTGCTATGGTGGTGATTGTCCACTGTATCTTTAATGCACATCATGCTTTATCTGACTAATTTGAGAAGGACACTGGCAGTGATTTAAAACAAGATATAAATTGGATTGAAGCTTGTCAGAGAGGAGCCGTGCTCCACTTACCTTCATCCAAATGACTTCCTGCTGCAGCTCAGCTCCCGCTTCTGTAATGACATAATGACTCAAACAGGAAAGGTCTCATCAAAAGATCAAATTAAAAAGGTAGTCTACTCTCCATAGGAGTGTGGTGCCTATGTGAATCCACTTGACTATTAAACATTCATTTCCTGTATTGAAGCCCTGTTCAATTTACAGTGATTATGTAAACTGAAAAAAACCCTTTCTGCTTAAAGAAGTAAACAAAATATACACACTGACCAGTCTGTTTGTTTGATGGTCTATTTTGGCACCTTGGTTCAATCAGAAAATATCATAAACACCTGGGCCCTGTTCTTAGTGGCCAACAACTCATCTATTTTGGTGAACAGATTCAATCCTAAAATTGCAGATTAACTTTTTTTAATTGCAGGCTTTTTGAAGACCTTGCATAATTATTACCAATTTGACACCAGGTCACAGCTTTCATCTGGCACATCAGTGCCAATGTTTTGCTCCCTCATCGTGTATGTCTTTCACTACTTCCTTTCCCGACATAGAATAACAATGTGCATTTAGAGGTTATTAACATTCTTCATGCATGATTGGCGTTAGGCTTTGATAAAGCACTAAAAACTACAAGAAATATTAAACTAATTGTTGAACACAGCATATTTTGTAATCTTTTGAAGGCCAATTAAATGGAAAGCACTATCCATGCTTGTGACGGAATGTATTTTCGTGATCTTTATTCCTGTTACTTCCATGCAATACCACGGAGCTCCATTGTTATCTCCGGTTTAATTAGAGATAGAAAAAAACTGAATAAATGAGGGACTTGCACTAATGAAGATGCTTTCTTACAGGTGCACTCTATGATGCCACTAAATGAACCTTCTATCAGGCTCTGCAGCTTGTTTACATGGCTAAGAAGGCCCAGTTGAGAAAAGGAACAACTCTTAAAAGACATCATCATGTGGACATGGATGGAAGGACTTTCAAGCACAATGAATCAGTACAGTTTTCAAATAGAAACATTACTATGGAAACCCCTATCAATAAATAGGTTTGGCAACATAGGCACTCATGCATTAATGCGACATATAAGTAAAAACAGAAGATACTCTGCCTCATCTGACTAGGAATGTCAATGAAGGATGTGATAACTTTGTGTCTGCAACAACAGTCTGCTCACAATTACATAGAGAAGACTATTTAGGACAGGTTAAACTAATTGCTGTCGCTGACATTTCAGACTCTCTGCCATAAATATACTGCCTGCCCCAGCTTCCAGGTTAGGAGACGGTTGTGTATAAAAAAAAACAATGTTGACTGTCAGTACAAAAATGAAAAGCAGTCCAAGTCTGGTATTTGGGTTACACATCCATTCATCTCAACTTCCTGCCTACATGGACTTTGTGAATAGAATGATGAAACAAAGCAATGAAAGGCACAGGGAACGCCTTGTACCCTAAAGTCCCAAATCCCAGAACAAGGACTCCCTCACAGATCCAGATCTCTGTTTAAATCTATCTGTTGCCAGTAAAAAGCTTGGGTCCAGGTTCACATCCTGTCTGCAGATCACACAACAAACACTGCAACAAAAGATAAACTATAATATATGTTGACAAAAATAAAGTATTACCCCAGAATTACCTTGAAACCAAACTCAGATATATCTTTTCTCTTTTATTAAGATAATACAATCTCTTTTATACGTTTTTATCCATGTGCTCCCAAAACAACATGTTTACTCTAGCTGGGTAATATTTCCAAAAAATCCAAATGAAATCCTGTGAAACTATGTGTATATATATAAACATGCTATAGTTCCTCTCTATGGCTAAACGTTTTTAGCTTGAGCCCCTGAGTTTTTTAAGTTATTCTTGGATTTTATTGATAACTTCTTTGGTTTGTACAGGCCGAACCTCTAGCTACAACTCTAACCTTTTAATCCGATATGAGTCTGCAAAGCCCCAGATACTCATGCAGTACTTTTATTTTGGCCGTGTCGGTTAAAAAGACCTATGGAAAGGCCCTATGGCTTTGTAAAGCTTAGACTATAAGTCAATGTCATCCTCCTAAATCTCCTCTCAAACCCCACCTGTATAATAAAGCCTTTCCGCAAATTGACCTGAGTGTTTTTATTTTGCCTCATTAAAAGAAGATAGTGGGACAACTTGCTTTAAAAGAGTGGAAAGTAGAGAGTGAGGAAAGACACAGGAGACATGAATAGGGCATCACACAGGAATAAGCAGAGAGGTGCACAGGCAGACGGAGAGGTAGACAAGCAGACAAAGAGATGGATGGGTGGATGGAGGATTGTTGAGGAGAGGAATAGAAAGTTCTGAATGCTTCTGCGGCAGGCTGTGCTGACGTGAAGAGTGTTCCCAAACACAGTTAGCAGCGACTGCAGACCCACTGCATTTCACACACACACACACACACACACACACACACACACACACACACACACACACACACACACACACACACACAGTGTGTGTGCAGGTGTTTGGGTGCATGCAGGTTGGTTTGTGTCACCATGCATTGATGCATTTTTACCCCCCTGTCATTTTTCTTTTTTTTTCAAATGTGCAATAGGACCTTCCCCAGGTGTGTGTGGCCATGTGTTTATGCACCAATGTGCTTTGTGTAAAGATGTGCACTTCTGTGAGTGTGTGTGTTTCCCTTCACAGGTTGGTCCTCTTCTATCCTCTCTATTCTCTCCACTCGGCGCTTCCTCATGGAGCTAGGTGCGTATCATTGGATCATGCTGCCTGCCACACTGTCCAATCGCATCTAGAGAGAGGCAGAGACAGAAAGAGAGAGAGAGAGGGAGAGCGAGAGATGGGGGAGGGAGGAGAAAGAAAGGAAGAGAGGGAGATTGATCATTTGAACGTCCTGGGCCTTGCAATCCTTGGAGTAACACTTACGTTAATACTAGACCCAACACGTATTTTATTTTCTATTCCACCCTTTCCCGGACTGAAGGCTTGGGTTTTTTTCGCTTGTTTTCTTTTTTGGGTTATTCCCACCCAGGAGACGTACCATCGCCACCAGCAGCAGCAGTAACGGCAGCAGCAGCAGAGGGATATCTCCCAATATCCCATCCCGGGCACGTCGGATAAGCTGCAGCAGCGAAAAACACGAGGTGAATATTGCGGTGGATGAGGACAGGAACATGGTCCGTGGAATTTCACACCTCTCATCCTGGCTGGGTACGTTACATCCTGCATTTTGTTATTTGATTTTTTTTTTACTGCAGCGCGGATGCAGGTTGAGGTTTTGCATTTGAGTGTGTGTGCGTATGTGTGTGTTTTGCCGTAGTCAGCTTCAGCGCCGATATACATTTATTCAGGATATTCTACGATACAAGCAGGCGTTTTATTTCCGACACCTTTCGCTTATGTATTCCCTGCCCTTTTCCTTCCTTTAATGATAATTAGAATTAGAATGCAGCTCGGCTTTTATCTGTTTTTCCTCTTGTAAAAACATATAAGGGGAGGATGGCAGGCGCACTTGCCTTGATAAATGGAGCGTTATTCATCAGCGTGTGTGTGATCACCACTGGAATGTTAACTAGCACCTTGGACAGCCGACACCAACACAGTCTAACATGGGAGGAGCGATAGTACTGATCACTTTGACACTATAATGTCTTTGATGCTTAGTACGGACGTGTGTGTGTGTGCGTGTGTGTGTGTGATTACACGGAAATTGATGTTGCTCTATGTGCGCGCGCGTGTGTATGTTAATATTCTGCCCTAAGGCCCACAGAGAGATAGCAGTGTGGGCTGGGGAGCAGCTGTGTGTTTGTGTCCTGTGTGTTGTGGTTCAATCTGTGTGTGTGTGTGTGTGTGTGTGTGTGTGTGTGTGTGTGTGTGTGTGTGTGTGTGTGTGTTTGAAAAAAAAACAAAGAAAGATACATAGAAAGGATAGTGTAGCATGTAGAGATTGAGGAAAGTTGTGTGTGAGCATCTTTTGGGAAAACAGAAAAGCCTGTGTGTATATTTTCAAGGGACATAAAGTAGGGGTATGTGCTTGCATAATGTGGGTTGATGGAGAAACAAAGTGGTGTGTGCATGCTTGGGGTTGTGGTGTGTGAGCCGGTGTGGTGTGGAGAGGGAGAGAGATAGAGTGTTCCACAGGCTTTCTACCTTTAATGCTACATGCAGGTCAGGAGCCCTTTGGTGTATTCCAGGGTTTAATTAAGCATATGACCGGTGACTCCTGCCATCCCCCAACCACCAACCGTAGTACTGGTGATCTTGTGAAACATTTTGTGTAAGTTGAGGATGTGGAACATATGTCCTGCGACTCATACCGGGATACACGCCACTCACAGCACACATATGCCCCTGTGCCGACACAGCAAGCCCTGACAGTCCTGGAACACCGAGTGACAGCTGAAGCGGACAACATCTCGTTTGGCCTATCTATCGCTCTCTCATGTCTTTATTTTTTAACGTAAATAGCAGCGAGGGTAGCACAGCCTATTTTTTTATATTGATGTGTAAGTTTTGCTGTGTGTGTGAGGTGTGGTGTGTGTGTGTGTTGTGACATTTTGAACTAGTTTGGACACTGTGAAATTATTCTAAATTGAAAGACCTAATTAAATCGTTCTCTCCTCTCTTTCCATTTCTCTGCCTCTCTGATCTCTCTTCATGAGGCAGTTTGGGCTTGTTTATTGGGGGGGTGACCGGAAAGGAGAGGGTGACCAGAAGAACAGTGATGCAACTGTTTTTTACATAACGAGAGACTCACACACGCACGCAACATACACACACACATGCGCACACATGCTCAAACGCCCATCCCAAGGCATACACACTCGCTTAAACACTTCCCACACATAAATACAACACACACAACTATTCAAGGGAACTCGCTACTGAAGTCCACCCGTCACACTCAGAGGCAAAG